CTGCGCCGTGCACCGTGCCGGCCGGGCGCTGCCTGACCTGCGAGGCGGGCTGGAATGGCACCAAGTGTGACCAGCCCTGCTCGCCCGGCTTCTACGGAGAGGGCTGCGAGAAGCTCTGCCCCCCCTGCAAGGACGGCCACACCTGCAACCACATCAACGGCAAGTGCTCCCATTGCAACCCGGGCTGGATTGGAGACCGGTGAGTGCGGGGGCTGCTGGGTTGGGCCCCGGCAGGGCGATGCCCAGCCTCCCTGCTGCTTCCCACCTGGGGACCAGGGCTGGCTGCGGGTTTCTGCAGCCAGGAGGGGAGGGCAGGGGTGGGCTGAGTCTGCTGGCATGGCCACGGGACCAGAGGGAGCCTGCGAGACCCCTGCCCTGTGCCCCCCAGTCAACACTGGGTGCTTGTGGCCAGGCTCAGCTGTGAGGCTGGGATGCTTTCCTGCAGGCTCTCACGCCCAGGATTGGGCCTGAGGCTCTGCAGCCCCCAGGTGGGGCTGACAGTGCAAGCAGGAGGGCTGGGGGGATGCCAGAGGTCCCCGGGAGCCAAGGGTGCTCCAGCCGCCTGCCTTCATCCTTCCCCAGGTGCGAAACCAAGTGCCGGAATGGGACGTACGGGGAGAACTGCGCCTTCGTCTGCAGCGACTGCGTCAATGGCCAGTGCCACTTCGAGACTGGCCAGTGCCTCTGCCACCCCGGCTCCCACGGCACCTAGTAAGTGAGCCACACTGTGGGGTGCACCCCGGGGCACGGGTGATGCTCAGGCACCTCCTGCCCCCTTGGGTCCTACACGGTTCCCAGCCGAGGGGTTTCCTGCAGCAGAAGCGCTCACAGGCAGTAATTCGGATGATTTTTGGAGCGGAGGGGAAAGGACGCGCTGGTGGAGCCGTTAGCAGCAAGGAAATGCCGCGAGAGAGGGATTTTGCTTTAGGAAATGGCTATTTGGCAAAAACAAATGCCCTCGACAAAGCGGTGGTTTGGTGGATTTTTTTTTTTGTTTGTTTGTTTTTAAGTCCAGGGTGGAATTTCTAGCCAAAAAGAGAGAGAAAACCACATCCCAGAATAGCAAACAGCCTCATGGGGACGGCATGCGCCGGGCGCTCCTGCTGTGAGCCGCGGCTCCGGCCGGCGTCGTCCTCATCCCAGGGTCCTCAGCCCCCGGTCCTTCCCCTTTCTCCTGCCCAGGGAAGGGGCACAAGGGATGTCGGAGTCCTGGTGTTTTTTTCCAGTGTGGGACTGAAGTGCTGTTGGAAAAGGCGAGGAAAGTGTTTCCCACCCAGCCGGGGCCTGCAATCCCATTCCCCCAGCTCCTGCCAGGAGGTGTTCCTCGGATTTTCCTGGGAATTCACCGTGAGGTTGGCAGTGGCAGCAGGGACCTGGGACCAGCATCTCACCCGTGCTGGCATTTCTCTCAGGGCTCAGAAACAGGGAGCATTTGATTTCAGGTGGGGTTTTCTGGGGCTTCACTGACCGGTTGTGCTGCTGGCAGAGCTGGGAGGCGAGCAGGGAGGCAGCCTGGCTGGGCACTGGTGCCAGCCCAGGACATCCTTGGCACCTTCGGTAGCAAAGCCGGAGGTAAGAGGGTCCTGGTGCTCACTGGGGGAGTGAGGCAGTGATTTCGGTGCAGTGCTGGAGGGCAGCGCATGAATGAAATTGTTCCAAGACCCTGGCGCAGCACTGGGGATGCGGGGACCGAGGATGCTTGGGATGCAGGGACCCGGGGATGCTCACGATGCAGGGACTGGGGATGCTCAGGATGTGGGGACCAGGGATGCTTGGGATGCGGGGATGCTTGGGATGCAGGGACCGGGGATGCTTGGGTTGCAGTGACTAGGGATGCTCAGGATGCGGGGACCGGGGATGCCTGAGATGTGGGGACCAGCGATGCTTGGGATGCAGGGACCGGGGATGCTCAGGTTGCAGTGACTAGGAATGCTCGGGTTGCAGTGACCGGGGATGCTCGGGATGCAGGGACTGGGAATGCTTAGGATGCAGCCCCGGCCCCAGCAGCATCCTGGAGCTGTAGCCATGGGCTGAGCTGTGCCGTACGGGTGCACGCCGGGCAGGCTCAGGGACTTCCCTGGTGCTCGGGCAGATCCCTGTGACTATGTGCAAAGCAGTGGTTTGGTCAGCAGTGTGTAATTTTGCTAAAAAGGGGATGATTTCTGGAAAGGAGGCAGGAGGGATGTCCTCACCCTGCAGGGACATCCTCTCAGCTCTGCAGCTGGAGGGTGCTAAAGGAAAGAAAAAAAACTTTGTGTGCACTGTGAACATTTTATCTCCTCCGCAGCGTTCCCAGAGGTGCCTGGACCCTCTTGAGAAAAAATCATTCCCCTCTGCTCTCCCAAAATCTCAGGCTGGGGCAGACCTGTGGGTCCCAGCGGTGGGGTGAGGGGTTTTGGGTTGCCGGGGAAGTATCCCAGCTCCCATCCTGCAGCATTTGCTGCCCCGGCGCAGCTGCTGGCGCGGCCGCAGGGGCTCAGTGCCCATCCCAGCGGGCACGCGGCGCCTGGCAGGCAC